TATAGATTTCCATCAATGTCTTGTCATTTCTGAGTTGCCGGTTACAAGATGTCTATCTCCCGAAGACGAACCACTTATCTGATTTGTGTAACATGGAGTGACGGACTGCACGCACCAACCACATTACCTAAGTAACTGTAAATGTTGTAGTGTATCCAATAAACTGTCTTGTGATGTGGTGGCACATCGTGCAGCCAGATGATGGTGGTGGAGAGACTTTAGTCGGGTGGCCGTGGTCGTCAACTTGGCCACGGGGAGTATCTAGGGCATCAGTCCTGCACCCCACTGATCACACTCTCCAAGTTTAATGATGTCTCTCTCTCTCTCTCTCTCTCTCTCTCTCTCTCTCTCTGTGTCTCTGTCTCTCTGTCTCTGTCTCTCTCTCTCTCAATCTCTGTGTCTCTGTCTCTCTCTGTGTCTCGCTCTCTGTGTCTATCTGTTTCTCTCTGTGTCTCTGTCTCTGTGTGTGTGTGTGTCTCTCTCTCTGTCTCTCTCTCTCTGTCTCTCTCTTCCTCTGTCGCTCTCTGTCTTTGTCTCTCTCTCTCTGTGTCTCTATCTGTGTCTCTCTCTCTCTCTCTCTATCTCTCTCTCTCTGTGTCTCTGTCTCTCTCTCTGTCTCTCTCTGTCACTCTGTGTGTCTCTTTGTCTCTCTCTCTGTTTCTCTCTATGTCTGTCTGTGTGTGTGTGTGTCTCTCTCTCTCTCTCCGTGTCTCTCTCTCCCTCTGTCGCTCTCTCTCTATCTCTCTGTGTCTCTCTCTCTGTCTCTCTCTCTTTTACTCTGTGTCTCTCTCTGTTTCTCTCTTTGTGTCTCTGTCTCTCTCTCTCTCTCTCTATCTCTGTGTGTCTCTGTCTCTCTCTCTGTGTCTCTCTGTGTCACTCTCTGTTTCTCTGTGTCTCTGTCTCTGTCTGTGTGTGTCTCTCTTTCTCTCTCTCTGTCTCTCTCTCTCTCTGTGTCTCTGTCTCTCTCCTTGAAGGTCAATTAGTAATTGAAATATTGCTACAAGGGGCATAAATGTCCTCTCTCTCTCTCTCCTCTCTTAAATATGTTAACCTTATCATCTTTTTGTGAATTGGGAATGGTATATTTATTCAGGACATAGCGGTGCACATCGATATGCTGGTGAGTTTACGTCACCTGGATTCGTGTTGTGCATGGTCATTGTTGAGAGGATCCGTATCTGTAGATCAGGGAACTGTGCCAAGTTGTGCTTTTAAAGTGGGCAAAAAACTGCCCCCGACTGTGCTAGGGGCCAACAACCGTGACTCTGATTGCGTGCCGTGAGTCTGATTGCGTGGCTCTGATTGCGTGCCATGACTCTGATTGCGTGCAGTGTTCAAGTGGGATAATCAGTCATGTGAGAGTCAGCTGTCAAAACTGAAGCCGTTCCTGCACATTTTGAAATATCCCACTGTTCACCCATCAGTGGGATGGTCATGTGACTGTTAACCTTCACCTTTGTATACTTCCCATGGAGCTGAGAATGAAAATCAAGTGCACACTGATCCCTTGACCGGAGTGATAATGTAGCGCTTCGAGCATGTTTATTGTTTTGATTTTCACGATATAATTATGCACATTATTATTGTTATTATCAATTAAAACATAACTATTCCTTTGGTGCTTCACACATCTACTGACACTGGAAAAAAAGCGGAAAGTTATTGAAAAAATCAATTTGCTGACATTTAAAAAAAAGAGAAGAATTTTGTTATTTTGTTATGACAAGGCTAACTCAGTGAGTTGGAGTTTCACAATATTCGAAATAATAACAGTGCGGGGACACCAAGAGTGATTTCAGTCTCGCGTATGTCATGATTGCTGAGTGAGTGAGTTGGGATTTCCGCCGCTTTTAACAAACACTCAGCAAAGGTCAAGCAATATCTCGGCCCTGGAACACCAGAAATGGCTTCCCACATACCATGAAACCCTGGCATCATTGGGGGGCACGGGCGGCCCAGTCGTCTAAGGCGCCGCCATTCGCTGTGCAGAGTTGCATCCCTTGGGCACGCCAGAAACCTATGATTGTGGGTTCGAATCCCGGTTCGCCCCAATTATGTTTCTAGGTTTGTCAGCATCATACCCGTGCTCGTGGGTTTCACCGAAGTTGTAAACGTCTGAGACCTGCTTCACTTCGGGCTTTCCTCCCACATTAAGCTGACACGCCGTGATATAACTGGAATACTGTTAGAAGCAGCGTTAAACCCAACTCACTCACTCACCTGGTTATCATTGTGAAATTGACCAAGTGACCATGATTAACCAGATCTGACTTGACTGCTGTGACATCCTCGTTAATCGGGAGATGTTTTCATCCCCTTTCAGCACCTGATCAACCTTGTCACAATGTCCCTCGGTTTGGTTTGGGGTTTGTTGAATAACATTAACAAAAGCAAATAAATCTCAGTGGGGGACATTATCCTCCATTCATCCCCCATGAAGGAGCTCGTGCCCATCCCTTTGAGGCGAAGTAAAGAGAAAAGACCTGTCTTAGGGACTAGCCGCGTGAATCGAAGAGAATCCGATGAATGTCGTCTTACAATGGGATCGTAGTCTGTGAATAACACCAGGTACAGACATCTTGGGGGCGTCTCAAAATCTTTATACAAATATTTATGTGCTGTAGCTCCCATAGGCTAGGATTTTGGGGGTATTTTTATTTTTGTTTAAATCCAAGATGCAGGAGGCAATAAAAAATGCAGATATTGTCAGGGTTGACTTGAGGTTAATTGACAAACAGATCACTGTCTGACCTTATATGGTGGTAAAAGTCCCAAGCAGATGGTAGCTAAAGGCAGGCAATTGTGTTGAATAAACTAATACTTGTCCAAACTCATGTGTAATTGTGTTTGTAAAGAGGTAAAAACATGGCAAATTACTTGCAGTTTTCCTGACAATGGGAGGAAAACTTTCTGTCATAATTGGAAAAACTGTTCATGAGATGCCCCCTGAACAGCTCTGGTCAGTTATAATACGATTACACAGCATAGCCAGCCACAAAGTTGATAGAGGGACGTTGTGAGGGAGTTAGGGGGAGACTGATGTGGCAAGGATACCTAGGGATACCTGAGACACACAGGTGAGAACTGGTCCTGAAACAGGAAGATTCATCTTGGAGGATAACAGGTGTGTTTCTTCCGTGTCTAACCATGTTTTAGTTCCGTGATGGACACTATAGTTTTAGTTCCGTGATGGACACTATAGTTTTAGTTCCGTGATGGACACTATAGTTTTAGTTCTGCATCAGTAATAACTACACTACTTTGTGAACTATATAAAGGACCGTGGAGCCGATGGACTGAATATCTATTTGGTTAGATGAGGGGAGAATAGAAATTATGTGTTATTGGGTAGAGATGTGACAGATTGTCAGTAAATATGTAAGTTTAGAGTCTTGTAGAATAACTTGTAGAAATATGGAATCTTGAAGTCCTGTGAAGATCTGGGTGAGAAGTGGTCTTCAGCAGCCCATGCTTGTCGTAAGAACGGACATAACGGATCTGAGGGTCGCGCTCACTTACTTGGTTGATGGATGTCATCGTATAACAACTGCGTGGATCGATGCTTGCGATGTGAGTCTGGTCCGTACTCGATTATTTACAAAATGTCGCTATATAGCTGGAATATTGCCGAGTGCAGCATTAAACAACAAACAAACAAACAAGACTCTAACATTGATACTGCTGTTATCTTGTTTTTTTAGCTCGCTGACAAATGGAACAAAATATGGATTAGGTTTCTTTATTTTGTTTGTAAAGTCTGAAATATTGCGGACATGTCTTGGTTTGTAGTCAGGTGAAGTTTGAAGGTGAAGTGCTTGGTGTGTGCCGGACCTCGGTTGTGGGGTTTGTGGTAGGGTTTGATCTGTGTAATTCGTTCCTGTATGTTGATAGTTTGGTGAGAACTGCTTGGTGATTCCTCATTGATGTTTGGGTTTGTATGCTAAGGGTCAGCACTGCCTCAACCGTCATCACCTGCTGTGACCCAGTCTGGTGTTGTATTAGACTATACAATCACAACTCCCAAATCACCCACCCACACCCTCCACTGAATCAGCCCACAGTCTGATACGAAGACTACATCCCCACCCCCACCCCCACCGCCTCCTCCCACCCCAACCCACCCTCTGCTGTGACCACAATCTGAACACAACTACACCCCCATAACATCGCCTCACCTCGCCTCGCCTCGACCCACACCACCCTCTGCTGTGACCACAACCACACCCCCATCCCATCGCCTCGACCCACCCCATCCCACCCCACCCTCTGCTGTGACCACAACTTGAACACAGCTACACCCCCATCCCATCGCCTCACCTCTCCTCGACCACCCCACCCCACCCTGTGCTGTGACCACAACCACACCCCCATCCCATCGCCTCACCTCGCCTCGACCACCCCACCCTCTGCTGTGACCACAACCTGAACACAGCTACACCCCCATCCCATCCCATCGCCTCGCATCGCCTCGCCTCTATCCACCCCACCCTCTGCTGTGACCACAACCACACCCCCATAACATCGCCTTGCCTTGACCCCCCCCCCCCCCCCACACACACACACACACACCCTCTGCTGTGACCACAACCTGAACACAGCTACACCCCCATCCCATCCCATCGCCTCGCATCGCCTCGCCTCTATCCACCCCACCCTCTGCTGTGACCACAACCACACCCCCATAACATCGCCTTGCCTTGACACCCCCCCCCCCCCCCCACACACACACACACCCTCTGCTGTGACCACAACCACACCCCCATAACATTGCCTTGCCTTGACACCCCCCCCACACACACACACCCCAACCCCCACACACACCCCTGCTGTGACCACAACCTGAACAACACAACTACACCCCCTGCTGGAGATGGAGCCGATAGGTGAGGTAACCTCAGTGCTGCTGATATTGCAGTGAGTCGTAGGCTGATGCGGTTACTGGGATGGTCCTGCCGTTCCGCTCACACACACACACATGCTCTCCCCATCTGGCGGTACTGAGACAGGATACAGGCAGCAGGGCTCATCTCCCACACACTGACAGGATTAGGTGTCGGGGGGCCAGCAACAGTTGAAGGCCTTTCAACCGCTGGGGTAGGCTGTGGGACACACGGCCTGGTCGTGGGCGAAACTTGGGAAGTGTCTTCAGAGGGCTGCCATCGCCTTCATCACTTCAACTCCGACCTCTGACTGCTGACCTGTTTGGTATAGTAGACTGTTGTGAAGATCTAGAGACGGGTTGTGACTGTTTTCCCGAACAAGTGGAGTGTACACAAGTCTAAGTAGAGACAGAACAAGGATTACTCTGTCCTCAGTGGAAACATCTGGACAGGGACTTTTAAAAAGTGTTTAGAAAATGGATACTTTGTAATGATTATTTGATGTTTGGAGATACACATCAACTATTTTTAGAGGGCAGTCCTCTGTTGACGCATCAATGAGGAGGCGGATGAGGGATGCTGGGTGTGTTTGTATTTTGGGTATTTTAGTACCACATGTACCAGAAAGAATCTGTGATGATGTAGAGTGTCCTGTGTCCTGTGAATGGTGTTTTAGTGTTGGAGATTTGTTTCCTGAATTTGGATATTTCCTAACAGGAGGTGATGAGGAGGCTGTCTTTTAACAGTTGAAGTGTTTGCTCTGTGGCTGGCTAATTGCAAAATCATTTTGGGTGTGTTGACGTTAGCATTTTTATGAATAAACAGCCTGTCGACAGGAGGAATGTTTACTGATGGTAGATCTAAATACGGATACTTGTTGACAGATATACACAATACAGAGACTTGATGAACATTTTTGAGCTGTGATTCCTGTCTTGTTTTTGGTCAGAATCGGGAGGGGCCTCTGTGTGCCGGTTTGGAATATAGTAAAGTTACACATATGATGTGAGCAGATCAAGGGTGTGACGCCCTGGTCAGTTCTTGTAGACACAAAGTCTTCAGGGATCTGCTGACTGGCAAACCCAGCAGGTCACGGGTCAGTGGATCGGGGATGTGAGACAGGGTTAGATCATTTTGTGGATAAACCATCAGCTGGTGTACATCCTGTGCAGAGAGCAGTGAGGACAGATTTCAACCATGAAGCTGAAACACTCAACACCAGGTTTGTATATGTAAAACAGTGACCCCATTTCACCTCACCATCCATCTTAAAGGAGAGCTGTGCTTTAGGGCCGGGACGGGTAACTCGGGTCGGGTGGGGTGGGTACTGAGTAGGACCTGGGTATCCACAGGACTACCCGGACCCGTGGTTAGTCATGTGATATATTGTTTAAGTAAAGGAGGCCTGTGCTTCACTGTATTGTACTCGTCTGGTAGTCTGACATCCCAGAATAAAAGTATTTATTTAAAAATGTTTTCTAAACAAAACAACAACAAAAATCCAAATGGAGCCCAGGGCAATGCCTAATTTCAGCCCAGAGCTGAAACACTTGCCCAATCATTCTAGACTTGATGGAGGGCTCTTTATAATATTCTCCAGGGTCTGGGAGACAGAATATCAGTCTAGGTGCAGACATTGTGATTATTGCCTTGTGTGAGACTGACATTGTGCGGACATGTAGCCAGTAACTTCAAGGGGACATATTTCATTACATTTAGTTAGTAGACAACGTGTGTTGCATTGATTTGAATCGAACTTGCTGAGACTGCAAATTTGCTTGAGCAAAGTCCTACTTTGAATGTTAAAGTTGTTTGTAATTGGTAATAATAGAAGTTGTAGCAGTATTACTTGGAGTACATGTCCTTTTATGCTTGTATGCTGGAAACATGTGGTATAATATCAAACAAGGGACGCCTTTATCTTGCCACTGTGTATTAATCTGCCATTGTAGAAGAATTAAAATAGTTTCAAAATTGATAGAAAACAGCTGTTGATTGAAGTGAGGTGAACTTGTGCTGTGTTTTGTGACTTTCATTGACTCGGAAACAACGTGCAGCTTTTGGCTTCGTAGTGAGGTAGAAGGGACGTATTTTCCCGCTCAGTGAGTGAGTGAGTGAGTTAAAATTTCACGTCAAATCGGCAGTATTTCAGCCATATCGTGACGAGAACATTAATAATTAATACATTTAGACGAATAAAAACCTGTCATAGACGGACAGTATAATAATAATAACTAGACTATCATGTCCCACCCAGGTGGGATACATAGTATTTTAGCAAGATCACTGTACCAATCAGATCTCATCATTCTGACATGGAGGCAATATTATAATTATTATTGGGCGAGGTTTAGCTGAGTTCAATATTTTTCTGCTAACCTAATATGACACCGTATACGCCACTAAAGACAACATAACAAGTTTATTATGCCAAAAAGTTTACGCTATTTGGTATCTTCATCGCACATGTCATGTCAAAGTGAAAACTTGACACTTACAATCGTGATAAAATGACAGGACCGGTACATATGTTTCCGATACAATGATAAGAATTATAATAAAACTGCCCGCATGTTAAGAGGAATCTGCGGTCAACTGTAACTTGATAGCTGTCCGCTCATCCCTCATGATGGGCTGCTATCTATTCTGTTGCTATGTGACGTCATTGAATTGGAGTAAAGAATAATATCTAGTGAGATTATAACAGTTAAATTCAGGATTCAGTTCAAATCAAGGTTTGAATCCCGTATATCCTTGGTCTGTCAGCATCTGTGTTCATGATTCTCTGACTGATTATGATCCTTGGTCTGTCAGCATCTGTGTTCATGATTCTCTCTGACTGATCATGATCCTAGGTCTGTCAGCATCTGTGTTCATGATTCTCTCTGACTGATCATGATCCTTGGTCTGTCAGCATCTGTGTTCATGATTCTCTGACTGATTATGATCCTTGGCCTGTCATCATCTGTGTTCATGATTCTCTATGACTGAATATGATCCTTGGTCTGCCAGCATCTGTGTTCATGATTCTCTATGACTGATTATGATCCTTGGTCTGTCAACACATGTGTTCATGATTCTCTCTAACTTATCATGATCCTTGGTCTGTCAGCACCTGTGTTCATGATTCTCTATGACTGATCATGATCCTTGGTTAGAACTCTATCTGTGCTGGTGACTCTATCAACGCGCCACGGTGTGCTTTCAGTACTGTTGAAGGCTGCACAAACCAAACTGCCTTCTGTCTGATGAGTGTGTTAGTTTATTATTCAACAGTTGGAATATGTTTTGAAAGGTGCCAGTGTATCAGTCCCGTAGTTATTTATGTTGAGAGGAAGCGACTCTGCCAGTCCATATATTTAGGGATATCTGCACACCTGTCCAGGAAAATATGTCAGTGGTGAATTCCTAACCCCTGCAGCATTCCCTCCCTGGTGATAGGACAGCTATTTGGGTGAAGTGATTGAGATTCACAACAGATTTGAAACATTACACAGACGTTAATAGATCCCTCGGGCTCCGCCTCTGCTTGTGTTTCACCAGTTAAGGCGCTCTGTCATTTTCAAATTAGTTTGTGATAATTACAGGAGTGTCTGTAATCTCTTGTTAAATAGCTGGGATTAAATGATTGACTGTTGGTAAATAGCTGGGATTGAATCATTGACAAACAGATGTAGGCGATAATCTTCAACAAAATAGGACAAGTTGGAGGGAGGTTTCGCAAGGCTGTCACCTTTGTCTGGTATTATTAGTTTGGTTTACATTAAAGGGTTGGTTGTTGTTGTAGATTGTGTTTGTTTAGAGTGGTATGGTTGAGGTGAGTTGAAACATTGCGTCCAAGATTATTGTGCGTGCGGGCGTGTTAGCCTGCGGGCGTGTTAGCGTGCGTGCGTGTCTAGATTGATGCTAAGTTTATAGTGCTGAGATACCATGCCGCAGTTTTACATCAGTACCCCACTCCGGCACAGATTACTGACTCCGAGCCCACCAGTCCTTGTTTTACCTCTTTGTCTGGTATTATTAGTCTGCACACTCCATCGCAGTGGTGACTCAGCATAACACCACTGCCACAGGCTAATTTGCATATCACGTAACCAGACTTTTCTCTTGTTTGTAAACAAACGCGCTTTTTCAGAAATCAGTGTAGAACGGACTAATGCAAGTATTTGGGGGCGCTTTACATATTGTTTTGCATAACTATATAGATATGCTACTACAACTGCGACAGTGAGTTGCATGACAATATATATTTATGCATCAAAGTGACCGTATCGCTAGCTCTCCGTTGGGCTTCGGTGACAGCACGTGGAGCCGTACAACCAATGTAAACAAAGGATAACTACGCAAAAACAAGTAGATTTTTACGTATTTGCATACTTTCTCAATGAAAGATAACCATTCTTTGACATTTGTTTATGAAAATGTGTACACTTGTCAAACATGAAACGGATGAAAAGCATATGCAATATCTTGAATGGACTGTGAAAGATGTGAAGAATCGTCACATGGCGCTGGCCTGTGGCAGAGGTACTATGCTAGCTGGCTACCGGCCGCATGGAACTCTGGGTAGGAGAGTGATTAGTCTGGTTTACATTAAAGGGTTGGTTGTTGTTGTTGTAGATGGTGTCTATTTAGAGTGGTATGGCTGAGGTAACAACAAGAACCATCTTTGAACCCCCCCCCGGACCTTCCGGTCTAACCTTAGACCAAGGAGGCTGTCATGGTTATGAAGTGTTTATCAGTTGTGTTGATGTTTGATCAGGGCATTATAGAAGTGTTTATCAGTTGTGTTGATGTTTGATTAGGGCATTATAGAAGTGTTTATCAGTTGTGTTGATGTTTGATCAGGGCGTTATAGAAGTGTTTATCAGTTGTGTTGATGTTTGATCAGGGCGTTATAGAAGTGTTTATCAGTTGTGTTGATGTTTGATCAGGGCGTTATAGAAGTGTTTATCAGTTGTGTTGATGTTTGATCAGGGCGTTATAGAAGTGTTTATCAGTTGTGTTGATGTTTGATCAGGGCGTTATAGAAGTGTTTATCAGTTGTGTTGATGTTTGATCAGGGCGTTATAGAAGTGTTTATCAGTTGTGTTGATGTTTGATCAGGGCGTTATAGAAGTGTTTATCAGTTGTGTTGATGTTTGATCAGGGCGTTATAGAAGTGTTTATCAGTTGTGTTGATGTTTGATCAGGGCGTTATAGAAGTGTTTATCAGTTGTGTTGATGTTTGATCAGGGCGTTATAGAAGTGTTTATCAGTTGTGTTGATGTTTGATCAGGGCATTATAGAAGTGTTTATCAGTTGTGTTGATGTTTGATTAGGGCATTATAGAAGTGTTTACATGTTTATTGAATGTTTGACTGGTGATAATTGAATTATTTGTTTTATCAGTTTGTTTGTGATAATTGTGAAAGGAGGCTTTGTCGATATCTTATTAGGTTCTATTTTGTTCAATGTTTTGCTGGGGATCAGTTAAATGTTTGTTATATCCGTTTGTTAGTGATAATTGTGAAAGAAGGCTTTTTGAAAAAAAGCATGATTCAGTATTTCAACACTGGGAGTATACTATTGCCACAAAAAAAACCTTTAAGACAACTGTTTCACACCATAGGTTATGTTTCCTTGTCACAACCTTGTAAACTACAAAGGTGAAGGTCGTTCCATTGCTGACCTACTGGTTGTATGATAGTCGGTGGTCACACAGACCCTAAAACAAATATATCCAATACAGCCCTTACAAGTCTATAATGTTTGGCAAGTCTAGATTACTGCAGTATCAGAAAATGAAGAGAGTCTCCAGGCTCCTTTTAATTTTATTTTTAATAAGATAATTTAACAACTGTTTTCTGTAAGATATGTTCATTTCAGAGACTAGATGTTAGTATATAGGGATCATGAAATATTTTTTTATTTTAAAAATTAAATTGTGTGCTCAGTCTTCACTTCAAAATAATGTCTCCAAAATATTCATGAACTTTTTTGTTCAGTATAATTAAAGTATGTTACCCATATTCTGACTGTATCCGGGGCGGTCGGGTAGCCTAGTGGTTAAAGCGTTCGCTCGTCACGCCGAAGACCCGGGTTCGATTCCCGACATGGGTACAATGTGTGAAGCCCATTTCTGGTGTCCCCCGCCGTGATATTGCTGGAATATTGCTAAAAGCGGCGTAAAACCTCACTCACTCACTCACTCTGACTGTATCCCTGTATTTTCAACACTGT